GTTCTTATAAACTATTACTTTTCAGCTTCCTGAATGGAGTGCTACTCTCTCTATTGTACGGAATGCTCTATTTATAATACTCGACAAATGTAGTTCGAATAGATATAAAGAAGACAATAAAGTTTTATACTCTTATTTTTCTTTTTTTCAAAATTCGAAAAATTTTTTTCTTATTTTTTCCTTTATTAATCCTTAAAGATTTTATTTTGTTTTCTTTTTTAGCTGAAAATTGCATTTTCTGTGTATAATGTTATGGGAATTCAAAGATTTTTAAAATTGATTCCGATTCTTCCTTTATACTATCTATAAACAAAATATATTTTTCCTTCCTTTACAAGGATTTAGGTTAGAGTCATTCGTTGTAAGAAACTAGGTCATTAAAGGATGATATAAAGAAAAAATTTTCCTAATGGGAAAATTATTTTCATCTTATCTCTTTTCTGTTTTTATTAAAAAAAAAAAAATTTTTTTTGTTTTCGTTTTTATTTTTATTTTACTTTTGTTCAATGTTATGTTCCACATAATTTCCTTTTTAAGACATATACTATTGTGTCTATGTACATATACGCCAATTTTACATAATTATTTGTGTGCTGTATAATTTCAGATAAGATTATGTTAATGCAACCAAAAAAAAAAAAAACAATCTAGCAAATTTATAATAACGTACTCTTCAATTTTATTGGAGTTAAAAAAGGAAAAAATTAGCTTGCTCGAAATCGACTCGAAATTGCATTTGACAGAACTGCTGCACTCATTTAATTGTTTTATGATAATTTTATAAGTGTATTAGGGTGGTCTATACAGTTTCCGTTCTTGCGGAATCCGGCCTGTCTATTTATGGTTCGATTCTGCTCATAAAAGTCAGCACCTGTATCTTTTGTATTCTATTGAAAAATGCGATACCCCCCTCCCCAGCCCAATTCGTGCAGTTTTGTTGATTACTTTTCTTAGGCGGCTTTATAAGTATTTCTTATTTCGATTTGTTATCTACTTCCCAAATATTTTTTATTATGGGCCGAAAAGTGTAATTACTACATTAGGGTCAGCTTTGAGCACTTCAGCGGGCAATAATTTTGTTTTGGGATGGAGGCTGATGTTAAAGTGACCGATGTTGCCGTTAATCTCCTAGTTTTCTTTTGGGGTTTTCTTGGCCCAATTTATTTGTTTCATTTAAATGTTGTTTCCATCTTACAAGTTGTTTTTGAGTGTTTGTGATCAAATTAATTTTTTTGTCCTTTAATCTCTCTCATTAATTGCTCTCCAGATTAATAGTTAAGGCTGGAGAGCATTTTTTTTTCAATTAGTTGTAGGAGTCTACACTCAGGAGACGGTTAGTTGTAATAAAATTTTATTCGATTACAAAATAATAAATAATGTAGTGGAAAACAGTATATTGATTTGTTCAAGAGAGAAGAAAAGTGCTACTTCACAAATCATTGGTTTGATCCAACTTTATCAAATCAAAATCCAATATCGCGCGATCTCTTTAAAATTTTATACTATAAAAAGTTCAAAAGATTTCATTATAAATTATTTAAAAAAGAATATTTTTTATGTCAAACTAATGTCAATATTTAAAGCAAATTTCAACTAACTGTTATACTTCATAGTTTTCTTTTATATACACTCATATACATATATATAATAATATTAATGAAACCGGGTAGGAAAAATATTATACTGAGTGCATTATTAAATTGGAATGTGAATGAAATGATTTTTTTTAATAGAATTTGAAATATTAAAAATTTTTCTTATGAAATGTTGTTGTTCTTTTATTATCTAGGTTAAATTCTATTTAAGGTAAAAGGATTTTAATCAAAAATCTACATTAATATATTTGTATGTGTGTAATTTCATAATTTCTGTATGCACTTGTATAATATATCTAAAATTATATACTACTTATTACTAGATCAATCAAATCGCTTAAATATTATGTGTTAAGGTCACAATATCAATTATTATAATCTACTATACTGTACTATATTTAATTTCTTTTACAATTATTATTATCGATTTCAAGATATTAATGCACTAATGCATTTTACAAAATAATCTATATATAGCATAATATTGTAATATGTAGGTTAAAATTTTAATAGTGCGATATAGATATACATACATGAATACCTATGTGTGCATTATGGAAAAAATCAATTTGTTAAAGTAAAAAAAAAATATATTGAACACAAATTTTTCTCTCCTTTCTAATACGTTCACTTTAATGAATCAATTCATTCCTTAAAAATCCTTGCACAAATATAAAACTGTAAATATCTAGTTTGTTTATATATGTATATGTTTATAAATTTGAAAATGGTTTAAAAAAAAATATTTTGTAGAATTGAAAAGCGTGTTTTATTTTTTCAAAAATTATTAGATTGTGACAATTTCCTGATTGAAAATTTCACTTCACTTGATTTTTGGATTCATTTTCTTTTTTGTGAATTACAAAAAAAACATTATCTCTAAATTTTCATAATCAAAATAAGTCACCTTAAACTAAATTAAAAATAGATAGACTTTGAATCGTATAATAAAAAATATAACCTACATTATTCCAAAAAGTATGAGTGCAATACTTAAAAGATTTTATTATTAATTAAAGTAAATTTTTTTTAAATTTAAATAAAATTTATTTTGTATTTCATACTTGAAGTATAGTGAAAATTTAAACTTGCTAGTTTCTCTACATGAACTTTAGTAATAAATCTTCAGTTCGTAAGTCGAAAGGACCAAGCAATAATAAGAGATAAGCATGCATTTGAGCAAGAAAATGGCTCACCTCAATTATAATTAGAAATAATTAATTTTACCCGAATTTATTAAAATATTGACCTGATATTCATTCATTCCACTATAAAATTTATACCCCATAGATTCCTTTAACTGAAACAAAGCCTCGCCAGGCTTTAAGTTATGTACAGCTTTTCTTAAAATTCAATTCCGTGTATATCAAGCAACTACTTTTTTTTTCGTATTTTGAAAATTGTAAAATTTTTGTTTCGTGGCGGAGTTTAAACCTACTTATATTCCCGGACCTGAACAACAAAAAAAAAAACTGGACAGACGTGTTACCTTTATTATCTGTCAAATTAAAACATGTTCCATTTTGCAATGAAACATTTTTTTATACTCACATTAAAAATATTTAAATTTTAATTTTTAATTGAGTAACAAATAAATAAAATAATTTAATTAAGAGTAGATTTTTGTTTTATTTTCAAGAACCAAACTACTAGTAATTACATTACTATAAAATGATTATGAATTTAAAATATAATTCAATTACTTTAACAGCACAAATCTACTACAAAAATTAGATACAAATGTAAATAAAGTACACAAAAATAACAATCACATAATTTACTTTTAATTTAGATAATTTAAGTAAATGTTTATTCCGAAAACAAAAAAAAAAAAAAAAAATCACCAATAATATAACCACATAATATCAAAAATAATAACAATAATGCACTTTATTCCAAATAATATAAAAATTTATAGAATAAAAAATAAATTAAAATTAAAAAAAAGTAATAAATTTTATTGTAAATTAATTAATTTTTATTATGCATATACACATTTTACATTTTGTATATGTACATAAATGTATTTGCAAATCACGAAATTATTATTATAATTTAAATATTATAACACTTATATAATAGAATTAAAAATGCTTTAAATAATTTTATTAAATTTAGCACAAATTATGCCATATAAAAAATTTTATATAGCTTCTTGTATATTTGTATGTCATAAATATATATGTATAGGTGCTACATAAAATATTAATATTGTATATAAGTACACGAATTACGTTATGTCGTTTTAAAGCTAAAATTAACTAAGTAGAATTTTTAAATTTTAAAAATAAATCGTGATTTAAAGTTATAAAATCATCAATTAACTAAGTAAGATCGTTTATGAATTCAGGGGAGATAAGTCGATATCAACGTTTGGCTTCAAATATGAATTCTGAATAATACCGTTTCCAGTATGGCATTAGGTATGGATTTCAATGTAACTTGACGTACACGTCATAAATCGCTGTATACGTTGTCAACGCAACTGATAATTATTTTGGTTATTTTGTTGTAAATGAGTGACAAAGAAAACATTTTAGTTTTGAAATCTTAAAATTTTTCGTTCTAAATCAAAAACAGGACAAGAATGATTTTCGACGGCCATAATCGTTCGCCGTTGCCGTTCACTGCTTAATAATTTTTAAAATGTCAATTGAGAAAATTTGTTTAATTACAGATGATTGTCATCAGTCATGTAATTGCTTACAGAGTTTTAGCTTTAAATCGGCGACTGTAGTAATAAAAAATAAGTTTTAAATAAAAGCACATTTTTTTTTTATTTTTATGGGGAAATACTCTAATAATTTGTTTTAATTTATTTACTTCTATAATTTTTAAATCTTTTTTATAAAAATTTTATTTCAAATGAAAATTTTTAAAATATTTTTATTTTGCTTTGTAATTCGTTATTTTAATTATTTTTTTGTTATTAAAATATTTAGCTAAATATTATCCTTTGAGTAAAATCTTTCCAATGCAATCCAAAATTATTGTAGAATAAATAAATGAATATTTTTTTTTATATAGTATAAATTTGTACATTTATGTTCCAAAAAATAAAAAAAAAACAATATACTAACACATCAAAAATCTATTATTATCTTTTCATTTCATTGAATCTTTGAAACCAAACCAAAATAACGCTGAATAATTCAAAAAAAAAAAAAAATTACTAAAAAAACACCAAACATCTACAAAAAACAAAAAAAACTTTTCTTATCATTTATAAAATTTGAATGCAACATTATATAACATTATCCTTGTACTAAAAATTTTTTGATATTCATCACAATTTCAATTACTTTTACTACAACTGCCGCAAAACACGTATATACAACAAAATTTTTATATAATATAAACAAACACATAATATTCATGCAAAAAATTATAAAATAAATCAAAAAGGATTATGTGACTATATATGATGGTTATACAACGAGAGATCCAGTATTATTAAAATTTTGTGGTGGTGGTCAAGGAGTTCCAGCATCAACATCAAGTGGTCCAGAAATTTTAGTTGAATTTACAACATCACCATATGGTACATTTATGGGTGCATCATCACAAATTCTTCCACTTTATGGATTTCAATTAGAAGTAAGAGATTAAATAAACACCAAATTTAAATGGTTAAATAAAAGTAATTTATTTTGTACATATGTAAAATCTAAAATTAATTTTAGTTTCCTCCTATGCCCCATATATATATACATATATATATATTTTTAGGTTGACGTAACATTTGTTGATGCATTGAGTCCAACATTTGTTAAAAATAAAAAATTATGTGAATTTTGGGTACGTGGTAGTGGTAGAGGTGTTTTAGAAAATCCAAAACATTCATTAGCACCAAATACAACATGTTTATATCATTTACAAGGAACTGGAACATTTTTTCGAACATATGATCATATGAATTTACAACGTACACCAACAGCACAAGAACAAAGACAATCTGTTTCAAAACCAATACAAACAGCAAGATTTAAAGTATGGATATCATTATTAAAATTTAATTTACAACCACCATTTGGTAAATTAGATGAACAAAGTGGTATAAGTTTATTAACAGAACCCGAAGATTGTTCTGGTATGTTAAGAATATGGGATGGACCATTAAGAGAACCACCAGTTTGCCAGCAATTAGATTGGTATGCAAAAAATATTTATTTTAAAAACCTTTTTTCATAATTAAAAATTCTTTAATTTTAAAATTGTATAGTGAACAAGATTTACCAAAAGGTCCACTAGTTGGAAAATCTGGTGTTTCAAATTTTACAAATATATTGGCAAGATATTGTAAAGGATCAATACCAAGAACATGTGACAGAGCAAATATTAATGAAACATTTGCAAGACCATGTACAATATCAGAAAGTTATGTATCAACTGGTGATTCAATAACATTAGAATTAAAAAATGCTGATTCAACTGCCTTAAGGTATATGCCAAATTATTATATGCAAATTTCCAAAAAAAAATTATATTAATTATTATTTTTTTTTTTAAATAGACCATTAGATTTTAAATTACGTTATGAATTTGTTGATTTACATCAAGACGGTCTTCCATTAGCAAGTGATCATGAGTGTAGTCGAAAATTTGTTAGTAGCCTTATGGAACGTAAAGATCCAGCAATATTTCGTAGTATACGAAATGTTTTTATGTTTGGACGTGGTGGTGCAACAAATTTAAAATGTGTTTATCGTTTTGAAGCACAACGTGGTGAACGTATACGTATTAAAATTAAAAGAGTTAATACTGGTTTTAGAGAATGTAGTTCAAGAGTTGATGAAGATATTAATCGTTCATATTGTTATGGTAATTCATCAATTAAAGTTGAAGTAAGTTTTCACATTAAATAAAATCTATAGAATTCGTTAATAAGAAATTCTTTTTGAAATTTTTAAGATTTTCGAAAAACCATATCCTGATTCAATTCTTTTACCACGTGCTTGTTTATGTAATTCATCAGATCTATCACATTTACCAGTTGAATATACATCAACTGGACGTGATTTAGAAGTACATTTTACAGCAGTAAATATGACCAGTTTGGATGATCCGGAAACAGTAAATTTCGAAGGAATTTATGAATTTGTAAAAGGACCATTAACATGTAAAGATGGTAGAAGAAAATATGGACCGAGTGGTACAATAGATATGACATTTGGTGATGTAAGTAAACTTATAAATAGTAATAAGTTTCCTTAAGAAATCAATTTTAAATAAAAAATTATACTTGATTGTAGATTGAATGTAGAACAAGACCATGGGTAATTGAACCATCAAATGGTAATAAATATTTATATATAAGAGTAAGAGCAATATTTTTGAAACGAGTAAATCCAAAATTATATCAACATGTAAATGCAAGTCTTGTACGAACTGCTTCATATAGATGTGAAACAAAATCAAGAGTTGTTTTAACTTCAAGTGAAGGTTTGTTTCTACTCCTTTCTTTTACTAATTTATGTCCGGTAATACTAGCAAACATCAAGCGCAATTCATCATCTCTTTCCATATTAAATATTATTAAATCATTTAATTTAATTTTTTCTTTTATGATAGGTCTTTCAATAATTGCATGTCCTTTAAGTGAAGATCATGGTAGTAATGAATTTGTTGAAATGTTTAGTGCTGGATGGGGTGAACCACCATTATATGGTATTATGAATCGTTCAAAAGCAATTAGTGTTGAATTTTTAAGACCAACAAATGGTGATTATTATTTTACTTGGATGGAAATGGTTCCTAGACCTCCTTTGGGATTAGTAGGTTTGTATTATATTTTATTTTAGATCAAAATGAACAAATTTTTTACTAAAATTTTCAAAATATTTTAATTAATATTATTTCATATATATATACAATTTTTTACATTTGTAAATTAAATAGAAGACTGTAAATATAAATGTACCGAAATTGATGCATGTGTTAATGCTAGCGTATGGTGTGATGGGGTTGTACATTGTCCATCTGGTGACGATGAATCATTTTTACAATGCTCATCAGTTATGAAACTTCCAGCTGAATTATTGGCAACAATATGTATAGTACTATTATTAATATGTTTTGGATTAATGGCATACACGTACAGGTAACTAAAAAAAAATTTACAGGATGATTTTATTTAATAAATTTAAATGAAAATGAAATTAAAAACATTTTATATAAAAATCAAAATAATAAATTTCTCATTATATTTTATAGAAAATTAAAACGAAAACTTCGTGGTTCATCAGTATTACAAACACGATTAAAATCTTTAAGTTCAATGGATACAGCTGTATTTGATGAGAAAGATGTAATTTGCTGACAAAACGACAATTCTGTACGATATGTGGAAGTTGATAGAGTAACTACCGTCTGACCACATCAATATCATATTATTATTAATTTGATATTTAAATATCGTACAGAATTGTGCCCCGGAAATAAATTATTGACAAACACAACAATAATCATATAAAATAATTAAATATTAAAAATGTTTTATCATTTTTTAACAAACAAAAAAAAAAAACAAAATAAAAACTTCCAATAAAAAGAAAAAAAAAACAATTCAAAGCTATTTTTTTAATTTTAAAATTAGAACAAAGTGAAAAACTAATTACAAAAATTGTAATTGAAAATTTAAAACTAAAACATTATTTTTTTCATTTTTTAATGTAAAACTAAAGTTGTAACAAAATTGTTAATTAAAAATCATAAAAAAAAATTTTTTTTTGAAAAATATTGTAATAAACAAAAAACTATCAAAAAATTTAATATTTTCAATTAAATTCAATTTAAGACTTTTGTTTTTAGAAATTTGTTATAATTTTGTTTTGACAATTTATTTACGAAAAATAGAATATTCTTATATTAATAATATTGTATTTGATAAAATTAAATTGAACCTATGTGACAACACTAAACTCAACATAATATTTAAATGTAATTTATGAAAATATTATATTTAATAAGTATTATAAGCAAAATTTTGAACTTATTTTACGAACGGGTCCTGTTTTAGGTGTATGCAACGAAACGGCAACCTGAGGCGGTTTCTTACAATTTCAATCGGGGAAAAAAAAATTTATTTTTTATTTAACTTTACATTAATACAATCTAATTATACTTGCATACATATTTTCACTTTCAAATAATTTTTTTTTTCAGTAAAGCAAAATTTTACTTATAATCAGAATTCTCCTTTTTTTTTATTTTTATTTCATTTTCTAATAAGATTACACATCCCTTCAATTGAAATTTTTATATTTTTTTCAAATTATTAACTGAATCTACCACCTACAAACGCAAAATAAATAAATAATGATTAAATTTTTAATAAATTTTAGAAAAAAACGAGATATGCAATTGGAAAAACGTTTTTCAAGTTCACTCGAAAATTACATTACACAAATTTATAACAATCATTAATATTAACAGACCACTTCAATTAATAAAATTTAATTTTTTTATATATTATTTTCTAAATACACCATTCTCTTTATAAAAAAAATATTATTAATTTAAAATAGAAATAATTTTCTATTTAAATGTTAAAAAAGACAAATTAAAAAATTGTCATTAATTGTCCGAAAGTTGTCAATATCAATAGCAATAAAATTTACTAATTATTGTCAAACACTCAATTATTTAACAAATTGGTAAAAAAAAAATTAAAATTTCAACCGAACAAAAACTATACAAATACATAAAATTTTTCTAATTTTATTTTACTCTGATTTCACCTTCGTATATAATAGAAAATAATAAAAACAACCTTTAGATAAATTAAGTAAACTGCAATCCGATTTAAAAGAATAAACTCATAGAGATTTCATTACAATTATAATTGAATGAATCTGCTTATTATACTTTAAACTAAAAGCAATATTTTATGAGAAATCGTTTATTATTTAAAACAAAAATTAAATAAAATTAAAATGATTCCCAAAAATTTAATTCAAATCGTAAGAAAACAACAAAAAACATACAATTAAAAAAATATATATTAAATTTCAAAGCGCACAATTCCTAAATTCAATTATAAACGAATTAAAAATAAATATTACAAAAATTATTATTATAATTAAAAATAATTTTTATATTATGCAATATCGATTGTATAATATTAATATTTATTCATTATTAAATGTCGAAATTTTTCAATTATTAATTAATTATTCAATATTATAATTTAAAAACAAATAAAAATTTTATTTTCTTTAATTTTTTATAAATTTTAACAGTTTATAAGTACATGAATGCAATATATAAAAAAATATTTAAAAAAATTAATTAAAAAAAATATATATGTATATATATATTAAACATAATATAATTAAATTAAAAATTATATTATACATATAAAACAAATAAAATAAAAATATTGTTTAAACAATTAAAGGAACAAAAATTCCATATACCTACTATACAAATCCATAGACACATACATACACATAAATCATATACATATATTATGTAAAATTAATAAAATTAAAAAAATGTTAATTTAAAATTTATAAAATGATCTATTATACAAAATACTAAATTTTGAAAAAAAAAAAAAAAAAAACAAATAAACAAAAATTAAACAATGATAATAATAAGAAAATTAAAAATTAAAATTTAATTAAATTTAAAAAAAAAAAAACTGTTGACTAAATCTGTACTACGTTTTAGTAATACTATATATAAAATATTAATAAAATTTCAAAATTTACTTTTAATTATAGGTAATAAAAAATAAAGCATATTTATATTATTGATACCTGAATATAAAATATAATTAATATAAAATTAATATGAAATAATCGCTTTGATTAAGAATATGAAGAGCAAATAAAATTTGGAATAGTTCATTTTTCGGAATTTTTCTCTGTGAAACCCCGTCAAAATGAAGAGAATTCAAAAGGATAGGACAAAGGGGCGCTTTATGTATAGAAAAAAATAATTTAAAATTATCACACAAAATCAAGCTGAGTTTTTCGCTCGTTAAATTTCTAATCCATTACTTTCCGAAAATTATTTAATTTATGAAAACAAAACAATAAATTAATTAAAATATTTCTTTAAATATTCCGTCAGTGTTTGAGTGCTTTTTAATAGTATTCAAATCAATTGTCATCAAAACATCACTGATTCATTTCACGTATAATCAAAACTTTTTCAAATGCATCATACATCTCTTTTTTTTTTTCTTATTATTCCAAATTCTGAAAACAATATCCAATTAACAATATAATATATAATAAAATTTTAAATATATTAAATTTTATATTTTGTATAAAAAGAAATATAAAATATATAGTAAAATGAAAATTTGTGATTATTCAAAAATACGAGTATAAAATAAAAAGTTTAAAAATTGAATAAATAATTTCAAAGAACAAAAATTTCCTTAAAAAAAAATTTATTAATTATGATTATAGTATAAAAACTACCCATAAAACTGTAGGTGACATTGAATATGTACGAAAAAAAATCTAAATTAAATAAAATTAAATTTTATAAAATTTAATGCAAAAACTATGAATAAAATAATAATAATATTGTTATTAAATAAAAAGAAAAATATTTAAAAAAAAAAATATTTAGTAAAAAAAATACAGAATTAAAAATCCGAAGATAAAACTAATTATTAAAAAAAATTATTATTATTTTTTAATTTAAAATTAATTTATTCTATTTATTATTCTATTTTATTATTATTCTATTCTAGTTATACATACGAGGTAAAATCATATTTTTGACAAAGTTTCTTCGAAAACGTATTATAAACATTTTATAACTAATATTTGACATTTTGCAAAGCATAAGATTTGACTATCAATATAAAACAAAAATTATAGGAAATATAAAAATTATTATATTCATATAAAAAATAATATAAATTTTTTATTATTTCTTTTTTAGTTCTAATTCTAAATATATAAGTTGTTTTCGGTCATAATATTATTCGTGCATATATACGTATTGTGCAGTTATCTTCGTATTTTGCAGTTCCTCTTTAACTGTAATGTTTTCTTTTTCCGTCTTAACAAGCTGTATTGAAAAAATAATTGTAACATTTAATTACAATTTAAAGAAACATTTTGTAATTTTTATTCTAAATTATTTTCCATAGATTGTTTAGACTATGTAATCGGAATACTATATAATAAGATAATTAAAATTTTAAAATTTCCTTAATATTTTATATGGACCAAAAAAAAAAAAATAAACCATAATTTAAATACATAAATTTAAAATATTTGAAACCAAAAAAAAAAATTGTAAATCATTGCCGTATAGAATAATAATGCTTTTAAGTTTCCAATTTAAGAAAAAAAAAATATGTTTATAGTATAAATGTTCATTATTGTATTTAATCATAATATTTAATAAAAATCGAATGAAAAATCAATTTTGCGCAGTGCCATAATATTTATTATTATAAAAATATAATAGAAATATAGAAACAAGGGTTTTAAATTCATTTTGAACTTTTCTTATATTAAAATTTTTCAAATAAAAAATCAAAAAACATTAAAAAAAAATAATAAACTTTTTGTTTATAAAACAAAAAATCTGCCAAATTAAATTTAAATAAATTTTCGAAATTATTTTTAAATTCTTTATTAATATTTCTGAATAAAGTACAATAATATTTGTAAAAAATGCTCTTTATTGTACTTATGGCTTTACAGTTAATTCATTTTTCGAAATTAAACTAAATTATTAATGTGTAAGTGAATCATTATGTAGGTAAATTAAATATACATAATTAAGCCAAGTTTAAGAGAGTATGTTAATATTCAAGAAAGTGTTTTTCAATCATTTAAAAATCAAGTCAGGAGTGTAGAACCTTTTGTGAGAAAGATCTCAACATACTAATTAATTTTAAATTTAATTAGCGGTGGAAATTACTTTTTTTTAAATTATCAACATTACTTTTTTTTAAATTATGATCAAATAACTTACAATCAAATTTAAATTCATTAAATTCAAAATTTTAGTTTATTCAAATTCTTTAATCAAAAATTTTCGAATCATATATTATTTTTTTTACACAAATTTAAGAAATTTATATTATACTTTATTCAGAAATACTATACATAAACGTAATAAACACGTACGATATTATATAAGTTATTAATAAATACAAAAAAAAAAGTTTTTAATATATTACGTATAAAAAAACAAAACAATTACCAAAATTAAAATGAAATTAAAATAAAAAACTAATTGTTAACATTTTATCCCAACTTATTAAAAAATCTATAACAAGATTTAAAAACAATTTACAAAAACAAAAAAAAGAAGGCAAAAAAAAAAGCCCGAAATATAATTGAGTTTTGTTTTTTATTGTAAAAAATTTTTAATAAAAAGAACATTTTTGAAAAAACAAAAAAAAATTACCTAGTAATTATTCTAATTATGTAGATCTACATAATTAGAACTACATAACCTGCATTTGTAATTATGTTTAGTACGAATAACATAAGAAAATGTGAATTTTATTGACATAATATAATAAAAATTTCTATAACACTATAATCACTGCCGCCGCCTATCTTTATTAAATATTTTATTTTTTCACTTAAATATTTACATTATAGCATTTTATAAATACAAACAATAATTAAGATATTTTAATTATTTATAGTTTATTATTTTTTTTTGTTTTCTATATGAAATATTTCAATGAAAAAAATAATTAATATTAATTCTTAAATATATATAAATTAAATATTTTATAATTTTAAATTAATGATTTAAATATAAATTAAGAAATTCTTAATAATTTTAAAAAATGTAAATTTAATTTCAATTTTTATTTCACAAATTTAATTTAAAAGAATTTTCCACATTTTTGATAATAAAATTAATTAAAAATTGTTATTGAAACATATTACATATAATATAATAATAATTTATAAAAATGTGTAAAATTAATTAGGAATTTAGTATGTAAAATGTACTTAAGATTTATATTTCTTATAATAATTATGTAATTTTTTTATACACATATTTAATATATTTTCTGTAAAATTTCCATAATTAAAAATTATTCATAATCATTTTCAATTCTCCCTTTTACCTTATATTGAAGACAATATAATATTTAATAAAAATTTAAATTTAAATATATTAAAATATTTTTGTTTTTTTTTTAATTTAAATAATTTTTTTTCTATATTAAACTTATCGTTGAGTGAGAGTATATTTATATAAGTTATTATAAAAATATGTACTTATTCGCAATATTGTAAAATTATTTTGTTTTTTTATATTTATATACTACAATATTTTATTTTATTTAGTAAATAAAAATTAAATTATATAAAATTCAATAAAATTAATTATAGAAAAGAGAAATAATAAAGCTATTAAAATTTAAGTAAATTAAAAACTAAAAAAAGAGAATAACTAATTAAAAAAGAGAAAAAAATTTATTTATTATAAAATAAAACGATAGTGTAAACATAGAAACAAAAAAAAATTAAATAATTAAAATTAAAATTTTTTGCAGACAATAAAGAAAAATAAAAAATATGAAATAAAGTTGTTGGTATGAAATTAAAAGACAGGATTTATAGAATGATAAAAAAAAAATACACAAGAAAAAGCAAGCTGTAAATAATTAAAAAAATATGCACGTCTAGAATTTAAGTACATTATTAATTACTAATCTTATTATCTAAAATTTAAAATAAGTAATTAAAAAAAAAACTTTAAAATACAAAATTTGTTGAACAAAAGAAAATTATATACATTTAATATGATAAAAACAAAAAAATTAAATCAAATTAATTAAAAAATAAAAAAATTAAATCAGAAGATTTGTTTAAAAAATATAAACTAAAATTAAAATGTTAGGAAATTTAAAAAAAAAAAACTAATAAATATATTATATTATAAAAAGAAAAATATTCATTATTATAGAAAATCGATTTTAAACAAAAAATTTAGAATTTTAAAATTGAATACAAGAAATAAAAAAAAAAAAACGTTTTAATAAAAATATATGAAAAAATATAAAAATTATTGTATATTTCTAAACGAATCGAACAAGAATCACATTTAATTCTTAAAACTTTAAACTAAAAATCAAATTACATAATATAAATATTATTGTTAATTATTTATTAAGAATAATTTAAAATTAAAAAAAAAAAACATTTTTTTTTCTATCATTAAATTATTTTATATATTGTTCTAGAAATCTAGAATCTATATTATATAAAGTTTTAGGCAAGTTTAGAAAATACTTAATCAAAAAAAAAATTAGCTTAAAAAATTTTGTTATACTAAATTATATTATAAATTTATATATAGTTAAATCGATTTTTACTTATTTTATATTCTTTTGCTTGTTCTATTCATTTAGAAAATTAATTGTATACATAAAAAATTAAAATATAGAAATTAAGAAAATAAACAAAAGAAAAGAAAAAAACTATAAATGAACATTGAATCTTGTTACTACTAAAGGAAATTTATTAAAAAAAAGCAAAAAAAAAAAAAATGCAAAATGAAAAAAAAAATATGTTAGTACTAAAAATTAAATATTAAAATAGTAATGAAAAAAAAAATCATATCAAATAAAAAATTTTCAACATGTTTTTCATTTTATTTTATTTTTATTTTCCCTTATCTATAGGTATATTTACTGTGTAATATTTGATCTTTACCACAAATTCTTAAAAATTCGGAAATTGTGTATCTTCTGAAAGTGCTGGAATTGTAACGCCACCTGTATCGTCATGTTGTATAGAATCAATACTTTCAAGTGGTAGAAAACAATCCGATGACAACTGTTCAAAATGAATATTAATTGAATAATTTATTAATAATAAATCCTTAATGAAAAAAATATCAATAATAAAATATTTTATAATATAAAGATATTACATAAATTTTACCTCAATATTATTTATTGATTTCTCCTGATTATAGAATTTTTGTGGATTTTTAAATATACCAGTTACATCAGCTGAGTCTAAAAATAAAATTATCAAAAAAAAAACATAAAATAGATTAAATATTTCAAAACAAAATTGTAAATCTTGTAAATTACCTTCATTAACAACTAATCCTTTTTTATGATCTTTTTTATGTGCCTCTAATTTTTCTTCAGTAATTGTTACATAATTACATTGATCACATGCAATTTTTTTATATTCTTCCGGATGATAATATTTTAAATGACTCTTATAGGTTTTTGTTTGAATTGATGAATAATTACACAATTTACATTTATATGGTTTAATTTGTTTATGCCTTAATTCATGTTTATATATAACACTAGGATCACGAGCTTTAAAATCACAATATTTACATTGAAGTTTCTCATCAGTATGTTGTCGCTGATGAATCTAATATAATAATGTAAATATAAATACAATTTTTAAAAGACAAAATAAATTATAAATTAAGGTGAGTAAATAAAATATACAACTTACCAACCAAGTTGATTTTCTAGCTAATTTTAAACCACAAACTCTACATATAAATGGTTTTATTTTATTATGTACAGCTTTTATGTGCTTCGATAAAGTTTTTCCATTTACAAACACCCTGTTACAAATTTCACAAACTTTTTGAGAATAATATTTTTTATTATTGATTAATTTTTTCGGTTTTGAATTTCTTTTACGATTTGATGATTCAAGGACTTTATTAGTCCACTTTTTATGAATTTTCATATGTTTCCAAACTTTTACTAAAAAAAAAAGAAAAAAAAAATCAAATAAAAATTTCGCATTGAAATATTTCATATTGAATTTTACCACATGTCATAGCTTTAAAGGAACATATCGGACATGATAATAAATCGACATCAATCTCATGATCTGACCACATATGATTACTGCAATTTCTCCAAGTTTTAGTTTCTTGTCCGCAATCAAAACATTTAAAATCAGTCAATTTATTTGGGTCATCTGTTGTATGGCAACGAAAATGTGTTTCTTGTTTTTCTTCAGAATCAAAACTAAAACTACATCCTTTTAGAGGGCACCTATGAAAATCAATATAAATTTATGTTTTAATATAGAAAAAGAATTACCAACTTAAATGTACAGCTTTTTTTTAATATTGTTTTAAAATCCTTAAAACCCACTACGGGCACTAAATCTTCTGGATTTGGTTTTTTAACCTTTAATTTTTCTAAACATCTTCTTTTTATATCCTTGCGAACACGACACCCATGGTCTTTAATCATATGTTCTCTTAAATTTCCTAAAGAGCTATGATGAGACCGGAGACATAAACTACAAACATATAATATAATATTTTCATATGATTCTAATTTCACTTCGTTTTTTCCTGGAACTTCACTTGGTAAACTTTCATTTTCCATTTTTTTAAAAAGACTTCGTCTTATCTTTTTTATTTATTTATTCATTAAAACCACTGAAACAATGAAATTTAATTGTTTACCAAACAAAAGCAGCTGAATGTTTACATTAATTGAGAGCTGTGACTTGTGACAGCGATTGCGAGCAATTTTTTTAAAACCCGTTTACATAGGGAAAGTTTACAAGTTGCCGCAAAGAAGAGTAGGAAAAGTAGGAATAATACTTTGCTCTTTATCTTTTCTTTAAAAAACATTTGAAATACTAGCAATATATAAAATCTAATTAAATAAATAAAAAATACAATTTTTTAATTAAAATTTAAAAATATTTATTTGTTCAATTATTAATTTCTTTAATTTTTTTATTTTCTTATGACAATTATTAATTTCTTTTCATCCAGCAAGCAACAATAAATTTATGAGCCAAAAGTCAAAATGACAATAATTTTGCGTTAAAATAATAGCTTGCAAACAAAATTTGTAATATACTTATGACCAACATCATTAAATGTGTATTCACTCATTTGTAGAGTTATACTGACATGTTCTTTCAGTCCAATCGTGTTTTCATCTTCCTTTAATCGAAGCGAACGCAATTACCTAAAAAGGAAAAGTATTTTTATTATTTGTACTTTTACGTTTTTAAAAAATTTATTATTTATGTCAATATATTTCTTCATTTTTTTGCAAGGATTATAAGCAACGGTTTTAACATTTTGTTAAAATTTAGTTATGCTTAATACAAGTACAGCTTCACATTAAGCTTTAAAAGATAAATTTTAAAGATGATTTTGAGATTTGTAAAAAATTTTGTAATTCACGAGTTCTTGTACCTAAAAAAATTAAAAAAAAAAAACTTTTCAAAGTATGAACCTGGTTTAACAATAAATAAACACAAACACAAACCACTTTTTGCCTTATTTAAATGTCAATGGGAAAGTCAGTTGTATGAAGTAGTACGTCAAAAAAATTTCGCGTTAATTTTGACGTTGTAAATTTTTTTTTTTGTTCAGTCTACTTTTCATAAATAGGCTCTACAAAAATTTTAGTAAACTTGTCGCCTAAATTGCTTTTCTCTTTATTCCCATTAATTTTAATTCGGATAATAATTTAGTATAAAATTAAATAAATTTATAATGATTAAATTATTCTCATTAAAACAACAAAAAAAGGATGATCAAAATCCTAAAACTGGTCCACAAAAAAAGGCCTCAGCTGCTCAATTAAGAATACAAAAAGGTTGGTTAAAGCATAATTTTTAAAATATTTCTAACTTTACAAATTTCTGCAATTTTCAGTTTTAAGGAACTGTTTTTAGTGTATTATATATTATTTTTATATTTTTGTATGAAAAAAAAACTTATTAGTATGAAAGATTTTTTCTTTCCAATATTAGAGTGGGATGAGTAAGGAAAAAAAAATTTTGTAACCCATTAAGTTATTATAGTTTACTATAGTGTAATAAGAAGTATGAATAATTTGAAGGACGCAATAATTTTTGACATGTTTTTTTTCAGATATTAATGAATTAAATTTACCTAAAACGTGCACAACAGATTTTCCAGATCCAGATGATCTTCTAAATTTCAAATTAGTTATTTGTCCTGATGAAGGATTTTATAAAGGCGGAAAATTTGTATTTAATTTTCGTGTTGGGCCAAATTATCCGCATGAACCACCTAAAGTAAAATGTGAAACTCAAGTTTATCATCCAAATATTGATTTGGAAGGAAATGTTTGTTTAAATATTTTACGTGAAGATTGGAAACCTGTATTAACAATAAATTCTATTGTATATGGATTACAGTATTTATTCTTGGTAAAAATAATAATATTCAAATATTTCATATGTATACCTATATTTATTTCTTTAATTTTCTATTAATATAAATTTTTTAGGAACCAAATCCAGAAGATCCATTGAATAAAGAAGCAGCTGATGTTTTGCAGACAAATCGAAGATTATTTGAGCATAATGTTGCTAAAGCGATGAGAGGAAATTATATCGGCGAAACATATTTTGAATATTGTCTTAAGTGATATATAAAATCTAAATTTACTCTTAGGTACTGTGTCTACTTAATTATATTAACAACATTGGGTGGACGAATTTACATAAATTTAATTTACAACTAAAGATGAAAAATTAAAAGAAAAAAGAATTTACCTATTTAAGAACGAAGTAAAAACAATTTTGAAAGTGTAACATCCAAAACCAAGAAAGAAGGCAAGTTAAAACAAAAATTTTAACTAAAAATAATTTAAATTTTAAATACAAGAAAAGAATTTAAAATTATAGAGAAAAAAAAACAGTTAAAGTACATTAAAATTACAAAAAAAATTATATATATTTAATAAAAATAACTTTCTTATTAATAAAAAAAAACAAAATATTAAAAAAAAATACCATTCTTTCATAAAAACAAATTATTTTGTGATAAGGACCCATTTTGAATTTTACATAAAATAATTAAAAAAATATACATATATATATATATATATATATATATATATATATATATATATGTGTGTGTATATATATATATAAATAAATACATATATATATATATATAATATTTAAAATAATCCCTAGTAGAAAATTTATATATATATATACCCGCTGCATACTTTAAAACAAATTCGTATATTGCACTTTTTATTATTTATTAAGCTGTTAAATAGCGATTTTTGAATTAGATATTTCTTTACTTATAATAATATATAAACTTTCTTTAAAAAAAATTAAGATTTAATTAATTATATCTGTTGAAAAAAAAATATCCTAATTAATTTAATTTAAATAAATTAAATAGAAAAAATAAAAACTTATTACATTTTTTCATAAGATTTAGCATACGTTATAATAATTAGATCTTAGAATATTAAACGTAAAACTCTTGATTAGGCGTAATTTGTTTTTCAAAATAATAGAATATCAGTTTTTTTTTTATCAGTTCAGTTTTTTAATTATAAATATTAAAGATTAAAATAGTTCCCTTCTGTTTTTAATTGATTATATAGCTACAAATCGTAAAAAATAATAATTTAATCCCAATTTTCAAATTAAATTCTATAAAAAATTTGTCCAAATGTGCAGCGAATTTAATTTTATTTTCATTTTATATTTAAATATATATGTACGAAAATATATATTTTATTTCCTTAATTTTTCTAATTTTAATTTTTTCTTTTTTTTTTTCGTTAATAAATTCGTACTAAGATTCTAGATTTAAAAGTAAAATTACATGAAAAAATCATAATAATTAAATTAATTTAAATCTAGTATTATAAATATTTGTGTATTTCTGATTTATTAATTACGTATTTAAATAATATTAATAGTTAAAACAAAAAAATTTATTAATAAATAATATTGTCAAAGAAAAGGAATTAAATAGAAAATAGAAAAGTCGAAAGGAAAATAAAATGAATGCAGAAGAAATGAAATTAAAATTAAATTAAAGAAAAAAAGGAAAAATACCTAGAATTAATTAGGTTAAATAAAATAATAATTAAAATTATAAGTTTTTTTTTCTTTAACAACAATTTTACTCTTATGTAAAGTAAAAGTAATATTGAAAAAAAAAAATTGTAAAATAAAATAATTAAAAATATTTTTGGTTAATTTTTTTTTATTGATTACTTTTAATAATATAGTTAATACATGACTAATATATATACATATATATATATAATGTGTACATATATACGAATTTATTTATTAATTCTAAAGAAAAAAAAACAAAAACTTAGGTTATTTTTGCGTTCTTTGCGCTTTTGGTTAGCAAAAATAGTTGCACAAAATCTTGCAAATTAATTTTATAAAGTATAATTTTTCCTAAAATTGACTTTGAAATTGAAATTTGAATTAAAAATTTTTTACATGATTTCAAGATAAGAAAAAAAAAGTGTTGACAAGTGCAAAAACAATTTTTCTTTTTTGCCTAAAACCAGCTCCAAAAAGTTTAAGAAAAAACGGATTTTTGATAATTATTATTTGGTTTATTTTTATTCTTTGTAATTCACCCCTATTTTGTTTGATAGGTTTATCATTTGAAAGGATGGAATATTATTCAAAATATTGAAATTTTCGGAATAAAATATTACATTTGAAAATTGATTTTTTATTCTGAAATTGAAAATGGCAAATTTTTTCGAGTAATCTCGTTAAGTGATGCGTACAAGAGAATATGGGTGAATATTTTAATATTATATTTTTATTTCATTAAGTTTTATAAGAAGACATTTTATTTTAGCATCTACATTTTAAATAAATTATTAAAAGAACTTATATTTTATTAACCCTTTTTCAAAGTAAAGGGAAAAAACTTTATACAATATATATTAAAAAATAATTACAGTCTGAATCAGTCGCTTTCCAAAATTTTAATTTGTGGGCACAATAAACAGTAGCTTAAGTAAGGCATAAGACAAAATTGATCTTCCTTCACTTTAATTGGTGTACTGATAACAAAAAAGAAAAGAAAGGTAACCAAAATTTTCAAGATAACAATATTTAAAAGATTAAAATTGTTTTTTAATCAAAACGTTTTCACTACAGGTACCAATATTATAGGTACAAAATTTTAAATTTTGCTACTCTTTAGTGTTGCCACAGCCATAATAAAGTCGGAAATTGAAATTTAAATAAATTTAGTGTATTTATTTGAAAATATGGAATATATATGTAAAAATTTGAGTTTTAAAAACTAAAAAAAAAAATAACCCCCATTTAATCTACTGCTACACGTACTTCAAAGGATTCAAATTTTTTATAATTTTTGTATAATTATATTTTTTTTTTTTTTTGTTTATTAAATAGAACTTTATTTAATATGCGAAATTTATACAGATCTCAATTTATATTATATTCTAACCATAGTATAATACATACATATATATGTATAAATATGTATTTTATATTTAATAATTTCTTTTTTAAATATATTTTGTATAAATTTCGGTTAATATATTTTATTATTATTATAAAAAAACGTTTAAGTTAACTTTTAAATTTTAAAAACAAAGTTTGAAGAAAAATTTAACTTTATATATAGGAAATATATATATATGAAAAAATCTTAATCAAAGCTTTTAAAAACAATTTTGTCTTAAAAAAAAAAAATAAAGTGAAAAAATGATGAAAGATACCATTACTTACAAACTATAAAATATTATATATTTAGTAATTATAAATATAAATATATTTATAATTATATATATAATCATAAGAAATAAAAATAACGAAAATTTTGATGTAAACAAAAGTAAATTTTAGTTTCTCAAAAAATTTTTATTTAATTTGAGCTTCTATCTAGAGACGATTTTCGATAATTTAGGCATGTATTGAATCTATCATACGTGATTTATACTAAGACCTAAGCTAAAACTGAATTATCGAAAATCCCCATATTTGTGGTTGTCATTTTCTTTTGAATAAACGTAGTTAAAGCAATACGCTTCTCATTAATAATTTAAAAGTTCGTTATATACATATATGCATATATTAAGAATTACGGTTAATAAAATATAGAAAAATTTTGGGTGCATCCAACCCCTACATCCAAATATTTTGAATATTTCTTTTTTAAATTTTCTTCTGCGTTAGCATATAAAATAGTAATCATGTTTTTTTAAATAATTTCACTACTATTTTATATTTACTAACATTGCCCAGACTTTTCTCAATATAAAGGAAAGATAAAATATATTTTAAAAAGATGTTTCATATATGATTTAATTGATATTTTATTTAAATTAGAAAAATAATTCTTACTACAACACTTTATTCAAATATTTCTTTTATTACATACTTAATATACTGCTTTTTAATTTAAAGATTAATACTTTGTTTTCTCATTCTTATATTTCTCAATAAACAAAGATCAGAAACTGCTGAAACTCTACCGGGTGTTGCACGTAAATCATATAATCTAAAAATAAAACAAAAAACATAGTTTAATTAAAATTTCATGTATATGTATGAAAATTTTGTATTATAAATATTACCTACAAATTAATCCAACTCTAATTTCATCTGTTGCCATTACTTTTAATAAATTCTGTATTAAATTATTTGGCAATAATTTTAAAATTGGTTTTACCCTATCTTTACCACATTCAACTAATAATGTTATAAATTGAAAAACAAAATATATTCTTGGTGATAGTTCATTACTTGTTACAAAATTAGCAAACATTTTAAATAATGCTTGTAAACTAATTTGTAATGATTCTTTTAATATAACATTTTGATTATCTCTATTAGTCATATTACTTATGTTACTACTATTACTATTACTAAAATGTTCAGCTATAAAATCATTGGAGCATGAATCATCAGCATTTAATTTACGTGATTTCACTGAACCAAAATTTTCATTATCAATATCCATTTCATCATTACGTTGACGTTTTTTAGTTGTTGATAAAATAGGTGTTTCCAAACATGATATTATACAATATACACATAATCGAGCTAATACAGATGATTGTGGTTCACTGAAAATATAATTGGAAAAAAAGAACATAAAATTCCATTTGCTAAAATTAAATTTTTTTAACATTTACACTTGTTTATCCACTAGAAATGTTGGCACAACCGATTGTAATAAAGCGGTAGTTGTTCCTTCAATATCTAAATGCATAATTGCAAATACCATATCCATTGTCTTATACATTTCCTAGAAAAATATATAACTTTCATTATAAAATTTTGATAAAACAATAAAACTTGAGTATACCCTAGTATATTTGCATTTTAAAATTTCTTCAACTAAACGATTAACTAACCAAGTTGGACCACAAGTATTTAATAAACTTTCTAAAATTTGTCCCAATTTTATTGGTAACCAACCAGCTTCCATAAAACCTTTCCACACCTCTCGAAATTGTTCTTCTAATGGTGGATGCGAAACAATTTGCTGTGACATTGAATTACGTATTTTGGAATTTGTGGTAGGTTGAACATCATTTAACATTTTACGAATAATATTATTTGTTAAACTAAAACGTTCTTTAATGTGTTCTTGATGCGGTGTAGGCATATCTTCCGCACTAGGTGTTGATATCAATAAATGAATCATATTGTGCGGTTTTAAAAATTCATCTTCTTTAACGGTTTGCATATAAGCACATAGATATGATGCAGCACAAACTGAATATGAAAATGGTCTTATTTTAATATATTCTAAAATTCTTTTAACATCTGTTGTCGATAATGTTTCATTTTCCCATGCAACTAATACTTGATATAAAACACCAGGAATATTCATACAAATTTCATGCCAAGATGCATTACTATATTTCGTAAGAGTAAAATAAAAAAATTTAATAAGAATACAATGTAAAAAAAAATTATTTACAAACCAATTTTTAAGCTGTCCATCTGGTTTTTTTAGTGTTAATAATAATTCATCCACAATGGTTTCATCACAAAGTGCTACCATATTTTTAGGATATTTCATTCGATTATGTTCCACCATACACTCTTTAACCCATCTAGCAAAAAATGAGTCGGCATTATCCGATAAAACAATCTAAAATATAAATAAAAATTAAAAAAAAATTACATTTTAATAATATAAAAATCTCGAATTATTACATCAGAACCATAATTTTGGACAATATATGTCAGCATTAGAAATGATACATCAAATAGAATAGAATGGGTTAATGCCGATTTATCGGTTTCATTCGGTATATATTTACAATGTTCGTTGCATTTTATTAAACGTGATATGAATGTTTTCAGAAGTCCTTCAACAGTTGCAACTTGCAGAATTAAATCAAAAGTATTGCCTGAAATTAAATATGTGGGTATAAATAAATTTTTATACTTTTTCTATATCTTTTGTCAAAAACTTGTCAATTACAAAATTTTTATAGAATTTTTAACTTGTCAATTCAAAATTTTATTAAAAAAAAATGACGAATGAATTTATAACAGAAATAATAGGAAATTTTGGAATATTTCACTTGCAATCATTATTCATTTTATGTTTGGCTAAAATACCACAAAATTGGGCAATGATAATGATTATTTTTGTTACCCCGAAGCTTGAAGAATCTGAGTATAGCTGTTCAGAAACAAAAAATTTCAGTAAAACAACTAAATGCTTCTTAGAAACTGGAGAAGCATGCGAAGAATTCTCTTTTAACAGAACTAAAAAATTTTCAACTATGACTGAAGAATTTCAATTAGTGTGCTCTAAAGAAATTTTCATTGCAATATCTCAACTTACACATTTAATTGGGGTCCTTTTTGGTTTTTTCATTGGATCAAATGTTTGGCATTTGTAAAGAATTTTTTCAAATAATTTGTTTTCTATTTAATTAATTAATAATTGTATACAATATAAATAGGGTTAGTCCGAGAACACTTATAATTGATGGAACTTGGTTGTTTGTCATAAGTGCCTTATTAACGGGCAATGTATTCAATTTAACTCAACATCTAATTTTCAGAGGTTTATTAGGTTTTACTAGCGCTCTCATATCTGCGTCCAGCCACATAATTTGTAATTATTATTTATATATATATAATTAATGAATGAAATACATAATTATTATCATATTTATAGGTGCAGAAATAATCAATAAAAAACAACGACTTGCTACTTTAGTAGTACTTGAAGGATTACGACCAATTGGCGATATAATATTAGCTAATTTTTCTGTTTATTTTGATACGTGGAATGAACTTTATAATTTCATTGGATTGTCTGTAATTATTATTTTTCTTTTAAAATCTTTTATACCTGAAGCACCGGGATGGCTTTTAAAAAAAGGTAGAATAAATGACGTTCATAATTTTATAATTAATGCTGCAAATTTGAACGAACGTAATAATTTTATACCAATAAATTTAAATAAAAAACTGGAAGAACTTTCTACGCAACAAATTCAACTCCTTACAGTTTCATATAAAGATTTATGGAAATATAAAAATCAATATCTGAATATAATTTTGGCACATATAACATGTTCATGTTTTTTACTTTGCTATATTGGATTTACTCTTAGTATTCGATCTGTAGGGTCACCTAAATTCAATTTATCAGTAATATATATATGTATGTAATAATTTATTAAAAAGTTTCCTTTATCTAAACATAATCTATTTTTTAGCTGTAACAGAACTAATCGGTTGTGTAATAGCTCTGTACGTATCAAAAAAATATGATCGAGAGGAAAAATGGGCTATTTTAGCGATAGCAAATATTTGCGGTGGATTTATATGCGCTTTTCCTCTTTTAATACCAATGCAATGTAAGTAAAAATATGACAAAAAATATATTAAAAAAAATTTTATTTTTAATTACAGTAGACGAATTTAAGCATTACTTTGCTTGGATTCTGGTAATTGGGATACCGAAGTTATGTGTAAGTTTTGGTCAATGTCTAATGATAGCAAGTTTAACTGATTTTGCAAAATCAAATCAAAATCGACACTTCGTTTTTTCTTGTATAATTTTCTCAAGATTAGTTGCTTGTTCATGTCCATTTATTTTTTATATACTAAAATCAGATTTAAAATATTGTATGATAACATTTGGTGCTATAGAATTCATAGGTGGAACAATTATATTTTTTCTACGTATTCCATTTGAAAATCACAACGATTCTGGAACACAAAATCTCTTAAGAACTTTAGGAAGTTCTTATGTAAAAAATTTAAATTTTTTTTACTACATTTTCTTTAAATTGCTCTTTTTTTTAACATATAATTAGTACACCTTACAAAGGAAAACTTCAACTACGGGCTTAAAGACCGGTGAGCAAAATTAATAATTTTAAGGCTGTCAAAGAATAACAAAGAATAAAAAAGAAGTAAAAACAAAGTTGCAAAAATTACCTATTGCAATGAAATATGAAATCTTATTCCATTTCACGTACATACCTTATATTGTCTTCTTGCAAAATTAAAATAAATATCTTCCTAATTAAAAGAAAAAAGGATTTTAACTTACCAATTAATATTTGACACAAAACCTGTTGCAACGATTCTTGTATTTGTGCTTTGTTATAATCAATTTTTAATGTTTTAAGTATACCAGAGAGTGGAACTTCAGCACACGTGATAAATTTTATTACAGACTGAACCTGCACATTTATCGACAAAGGAGATATTGGTTCCCTTCAAATAAAATAAAGATTATTTTAAAATCAAAAAGTCATATTTTTAGTTACCTTTTGCCTGCAAATATCTTAACATGCTCTTCATTCACAATCCGTTGCTTAACCCATTCTTTTAATAAAAATTCAACAAAATTTTTTTCACATTTTGCATCGATATAATCAAACATGAATGAATCGTCAAGTATCATATCTAACGCTTCAATAACATCGGGAATATGATCATAATTTGAAGTATAATTCACTTGAAATAAACATCATTATAAAAGTACACTCTTTTTCTAAAATTTTTATTTAACTTACTTTCTTTTTTTGCGTAAATCTGTTTTATTATATGAGGCATTTTCATAAATGTAATTGCACTCCACATAACATCATGCGTTACATCCGGTGTATTTAAAGAAATGAAGCCAGATCTCATTATTTCATAAAACAATCTTGAACATGTAAACCCTTTTAAACGTTGTACCATAAGCATTTGAGACACATACAAATTAGTATCGCTCGTAGGATTAACAATTAAAGCGACAGCAAACATTGGTTGAACGCAAAATGTTATTGTTTCAGTGGTTTTTGAATTTAGTTTTTTCATATCAAGCTGTTCAACATCAAGATTTGCCAATTGATTAATATAAATTTCTATTTGTTTGTTAGATTGCGTAAATTTGGAATTTTTCAGTAGCATATTTATTTCTAGGCTCTTGTTCATAATTTCCTGATACAAATCTAATTCTTCTTGTTTTCCAATATACAAAATACCAATAAGAAAATCATTTTTTATTATTTTATCAATGACTTCAATTGTTTTATTAAACACGTTTTGTTCTTCTACAAATACAAATGTTAGAGAATATAGTTATTGAAAGTAAAGAATAATGGTTAAAATAGGTACCTGCTTGTAGTTCTTTATTCGAATCATTTACTTTCAACACTGCTGCTAAAATTTTGATTAACCAAAGCACAAGAGAAACTACAGCAGCCGGTAATACATTTTCTTCAGGCTTTCCTCTTTAAAAAAAAATTCGAAATTTGTTTATGTCAAATAAATAATAAATTACCTGCATGTTACTCCATCCATTATAGAGTTTAGTAAATCCAATAAAGCTGTTAAACAATATACTTTATCGAAATCTTCAAACTTCGATATTCGTTTCAAGACAGCAGCATGAGAAATCAAATGTGCGCAAAGTGAATGTTTCAAATACGAAATCGCGAGCTAAAAAAATGTTTCATGTCATTGAATTCATTTTAAATTATGTTTAAAAATTTACCAAATTCGCATTGGATCCTATTACAGCCTGCTGAAGTATACAGTCAGCTAAATTGTATACATCTCCACTTACTCCTCTAGGTAATACCTTTAAAACAATTATATTAAATATTCATATAATACTATGTATACAAGCACATTACTGAATGGAAAATCAAAAATGCTTACTGTTTTGATATTAATTCCCCACTTCGCATCACTCCACCTTTCTCTCCAAGCTTTTAAGAGCATTAGATTCAATAGACCGGCTCGGCTTGTTGTTTTTGTATCCTTCATCTTTTTTAATAGTTTCAAATTCAAAAAAAATTCAATATTTTAGAGATCGTACACCAAATTTTAATAATAATTGTTGATACAAGCTTGATGACATTTAGAATACGTCACTTTCGATTTGCTGTCAAAGCCAATTTCAGAATGCTAAAAGTGTTGCCATCTGCTACAAAACATAGTTAATTTGCCAAATAAAAAATAAAATTAATCAATTTAAGTTTATTATAATACATTTATTATAATCATTTTTAATCATCATAATATAACAGAAATGTAAGAATATCAAATGAAAGCTAAAACAATTGAATTAGCATGCAAATTTTAGAGAAATATTTATTATATTCCGCACATAGCCAGAATATTAAACGTCATGAACAGATTTCGAAAACAACATTCCGCACTACATAGCCAGAATATTAAATGTCATGAACAGATTTCGAAAACAACAATTGTACTGTAACTGAAGCTATATTTTTTTATTTGAACTTTCTTCATTCATTTGAGAATTCTCAAAATAATATTTAGTTTTTATTTAATTGAACCTACGAACTATAAGGTATATATAATTAATTATTGTATTTATCCTAATTCAATTTTTATTTAATAAAACCAAAGTTTAACATGTGCATAGTGACTGCAAAATCTTTGCTTAATATTTTTCAACTCCATTCAATATTATAATAAATAAATTAAAACAATATATAATATAAACTTAATACCTCACATTCGAAGTCTTACAATCACATCGTTAGCTAATTTAACTAATCTATTAAAATTTACTTTCATGTAAACTCGCCAATATTTACACCTGCCCCAAATAACCGCAGGATAATTTGGACTTGCGATGCCATAGAATATGCGAGCTATACTTCTACCAGTGAAATTGTTATCTGGATACATATGAATCATTGATTGTATATCGTTAATTATAACACTATCAGGTGTATCATGCACCTAAAAATAATGAAATTTAAGAATCAAAAAAACTAACATAAAAATAATTTCATATTCATTACATCCTCTTTTAATTTCACTTCATTTGAGCAGTTTGTTTGAAAATAATTTCTAATTATTGATTTTAACTTATTTGACATTTCGATATCAAAATTTTTATCACAACAGGGCAAACATGATTTAAACGACACCGAGTGCAATCCTTCCGATATGCATTGCAACTGTATTAATTGTGTACGTTCTTGTAGCAATGAGCGTTGATATAACGAATCTAAGCCTTCATCTATTTCTTCGCTAGTAAAATCGCCAGGAGCTTTGACACGAAATCCCAAATCATAAAATGAAACAGATATAGACGAGCGTTTTGGGAGACCATTCACTAAAATTTTACGTTTAACGAAAAATTATTTAAAATAATAAAATGTTTCTTTAAATAATACCTGAAGTCCATTCCAATCCTTTTAATTGTTGTTTTACAACGCCACTATTCCATCCGATTATTGAGGCGATTTCTATTACAGAAAATTCTACAATATTATTCTCTTCATTAAACGTTCCGCTCTTTATTTGTAAAGCGATTGCCATAGCTAAAGGTGGGCAATCTTTTGCCGCATTCCTGCAACATCAGTTGTAAAGTTTAAGCAATTTATATTGAACACCCATTATTGAATTACCTCAAATATTTTGGCCCACCATATGACAGAACTTTACATTTTGTGTATGCATTACTTAAAATATTCAAATTGTAACGTCCATCTAATTCTAAATAACACAGCAGAGTTGAAATATTCTCCTCTGGAATATCTAAACTCTGAACAATTTCTTCTATAGAAAACCCTATTTCATGTCCTGGACACAATCTATTTTTAGGTTTAACATCACTCATTTGTGACATAACAGAGTTCTCTGTTAAATCAAAATCATCATCCCAATCAATTTTTTGAATAGCTTTAATTTCTTCCAAGTGAGTTTCTAGAAAATCTCTAAAAAGTATTGCAATTAATATATATATATATATATTCAGATTCTAAATTCTATGTTCCTACTTGCTTTTCAAATTTCTATTGCATGAGCATGGTATAAAAATTTTTTGTAATAATTTTCTAATAACGTGACGATCTATAGAGTTTCCGTATATATGTTTTTTCAATTCACTTTCATCTTGCCTTTTTGAGTCTAAAAACAAATGACAATGAGCTGGCCTCCCATCACGGCCAGCCCTTCCAATTTCTTGAACATAACTTTCATAGCTTTTTGGCATGTTATAATGTATAACTGCTCTAATATCAGGTTTATTAATACCCATACCAAAAGCAATTGTTGCGACGACAATGCGAAGTTCATTTTTCATAAAAGCATTTTGTATCACTCTTCGCCTTGATGCACTTAAACCAGCGTGATATGATTCTGCGTGCCAATTAACTCTTTTGCGCTTTCCAGAACTTTCCTTCGAAGGCTTATCCTATAAGTATAAAAAATAAGTAAGTATAGATTTATTTATCAATACTCAAAACCTACTTGCATACAAGTCCTTATGAAACCAGCTATCCTTTCGCACTCATCTCGTCTTGTACAATAAATTATAATCGACTGACAAGGTTCAAACCTTTGGCATAAATAATTAAATTATGACTAATCATTTTTTAATTCAAAAATTACCTTTCACTTCTCAAAATTTGCATTAAAGCAGATTCACGATTTGATTCCACGGATATGGAAAGAATCAAATTGTCAGGCAAAGGTATATCACTTATTATACCACTCTTTTCGTCTTTTATTTCTAAGTGACGAATTATACTTTGTTTTGTTTGAAGTGTTGCGGTTGCTGTTAAACCCAAAATAGTTTTAACACCAAGTCTTTTTTTCAAAACCTTACATATCATTAAATAGCTAGGACGAAAATTATGGCTCCATTGAGAAACGCAATGAGCTTCATCAATACAAACAAAAGCAATTGGTGGTAAATTTCTTAATAATGCACCAAAACCAGTAGATCGTTCTCCAGCAACAACAGCCTCTGGTGAAACTAACAAGATATCAATATCTCCCTTATTCACCAATTCCATAATTTTAAGTCGTTGCTGGGCAGTTTGATTAGTATGCAAACAATATGCTCTTAAAAATGGTGGAATATCATGCACTTGATCTTCCATTAATGAAACCAATGGGGATATTACCAATGTAATACAGCCTTTCAGCCGACTGTAGAGATAAGCTGGTAGTTGATAGCATAAAGATTTTCCACTACCGGTACTTAATGTTACTAGAGTTGAAAGACCCGAAAGAATTCTCATAATAGCCTTATCTTGTCCTTTTCGAAAACTTTCATGGCCAAACATTTTTAAAGTTTCCAAGACTTCAGGTGTTATATCTTTTATTTTGCCATCTGGATTTAGATCATATACTGGTGTAACTTCTTTGTCTCTTTGATTTTCATTTAAAAGCCCACACTTTTCCAAAAAATCTTCTGGAATCTTATGTCCTATGTAAATTGGTTTTGAATTATTGGAGTCACTGCCCTCATGTAAATTTTGATTTTCTATAAGTGGTTCGCTCAAATTTTGATTTTCTATGAGTGGTTCGCTCAAATTTTCTTTTATTCCGCCTTCATCTTCTATTTCACTACCATTTTGCATTTGTACAATATTATCCTCTGAGCCATTTTCCACATCTGATTTCGGTTTCTCATCGCTATTTATCTGATAATTAGCAGCCTGCGGTAATTTACTTATATTTCGGCTATGGGCTGATAATGCTTTATCATTAGCAATTTTTGCAGCTTCTTCCAAGGACAAGAATGGCGATTCTTCTAGTTCATCCTCATTTAAAGGCATTAGGTTATCACCTTTTTGTTTACATTTTCTTGCAAAATGGCCAGGTTGTCCACATTTGAAGCACGTCAAAATTCCGCCGTCGCAACCACGCATATCCATATTCGGCCCGCATAGAGCATTATTTTCTTTCTTGTTTTTCCAGAGCTTTTTTTTATAGCGACTATAATTAATTGATTTTTTTCCTCGTACGAAAACTTTTTTGCTAATATCAATTTTTACAAAATTTTCATTTAGTTTTCCAGCCTTTATTTTCTGTTCTAATTTGATTTGTGCTTCAGATTTTAATTTTACTGATTTTGTTTCAGCTTTGTCTTTTGTTGTACCACCAACATTGCTTACATAGGATTCCAAAACAGCTTCAACGTTCTTCAATTCTTCAAAACTAGCGCTTGGTAGAGATTTAATTTGATCAATTTCTAGTACTAAATTTTTGGCTTGAAAAGTTTCATCTTCGTTTGATTCTTTTTCATCAACCGGGTTATCTAAGTTAGATTTTGAAAATCTTGTTACTCTAGAGTTTATTACTCTTTTAGTAGTTTCCTTCTTCGCATTTCTTTTATATCTTCTTTTTGGTTTCATTGCTAAAATTGTTACGGTAATTATAAGATTTAATATAAAAAGAATAGGTTATTATAATATATAACTCATATTGCACTATAGTAATTAAAAGAATTTTTACCAGAATTACCAGAACTTTCGTTTTCACTACTCTCATCAGAATACTTTTTGGAAGCTTTTAAATTTCTCTTTTTGGTTTTTTTCACATGTTTCTTTTTTGGTTTTGGTTCTTCCTCCGAAATGTGCGATTTCCCTGATTCATCATTTTTAGACTTTAACGTTTCTTGCGCCACTTCGTATTTTTCCTTACTCATCGTAATTGTCGCTTCCAAAAGTTTTTTTTCAAGGCAAGGTTTGTCCATACTTTTTACATTTTCATTTTCACTTAATTTATTTTTATCAATATCCCTTAATATTCGACGTCTTTTTGCAATGTGTCTATAAGTGTCTACTTTATCAATTTCTTCCTCGCTATTAGATATAACTTCATCTGAATCGTTGCCCAATTCATAAATATTATTCGAATTTTTACATTCTTCGTTAATTGCCGAATTTTCTCTTATGATAGGGATATCACTTGCATAGTTTTTCGTGCGCATTAAATTTAAATTCGAAATTCCAAAAGTTTTATTTTCATTTGTTGATGTTGCGGAAGTTGTATTTGCTGGATTTGTGTTTTCAATGCTTAAAGATTCTTTCGAACAACGCTCTAACCAATTTTTGTCAACATTAATAGACACTTCTTTAGGTTTCGCTGATAAAAATCCTACTGCTGCATTTTGTAATGGAGACTTTTGTTCTTTCGCTTTTTGCGTTAAAATTGTTTCTAAGTCTGGAAGTGTTTCTTCACACTTGTTGCGATTAAGCTGGTCATTAATCGAGCTTAGTGAACTAGATAAGTTAGTATTACTCAACCTTGAAAGCGATTTTCTTGGATTTCTTTTTGAAAATGATTTAGATGATTCAAATAGTTTAGTATTTAAACTTGATTTTACTCGAGATATAGCAACTTCTTTAGTTGGAGATTTTTTAACTTCATTTAAGCTTTTACTTTTTGATACACCAACCCATGCTTTTTTGTTTAATTCGGATTCACCTGCTGCTACAAAACTCTGTTCTTCATTAATCAAATTTGTGTTATTTATTTCTTTGTTCTCAGAATTGTTCGAATTCAAAGATATATTTTCATTGCTTTCTAAAAAACTTTGACCTGAGGGAAGAAAAATTTTTGAAAAATCATATCCCGAAGTTTCTGCAATATCTGGTTGAGAATTTTCAGTTTCAAACACATCAAAACCATCATCTGATAAGATATCACCCAATGTGTTCTCCAAAAATGTGGTTTTCAATTTATAATACATTTTATACGAATATCGAATTTCATTTGGGGCATCTTTAATGTCATACTTCAAGTTTTAAAAGAATAATTAATACATACAAATTTTCAATATTAAATTATTCATTGTTACAAAAATTTGCTCTATATATATTATGTACGTAAATGTACCTACCTTCGAAGGAATCCTTTTATACTTCTTAATAAAGCTTTTTTCCCATCTTTTAACACGAATTTTATATTTTTCATAGTTAGGTTTAAAAACTGGATCATCCATTTATTTTGACGTCAAATTTTGTGCCTATATTTTTTTTTATTCCTTCAATTCGTACAACAATGCAACTTTTTTTAAAATAAATTTTGCGCCAATACTGTTCTGATTTCTGAATGAAAGATATTGAATAACGAAACTTCAAAATTCAAATGGAAATGAAACAAAACATTGGCCAAAGGAGAATTTACTTCTTTATAAAAAAATCGGAGTAGTGTAAAAGAACTGTCAAAGAGTTAAATTTAGGTTTAGATTTTGTATAAACTACAAATTGTTGTCAAACTTCTTTATCTAGAATAGCCAAGGTAACAAATAACTTCTTCAACACAGAGAGGATTCAAAATAGAAAGGTTTAAAAAGAAATAAAGAATTTAAATTTCATGTATCTGATGTGTACAATTTTTTCAACAAAACCTGTTAACAAAAATGTGTCAAATATTTATATACACAAAAATACTATAGTTATGTTAATTTATTCAGGCAAGCTTATATGATCGATCAGAGGAATGTGTTGACAGTAATGAATCATAAACGTGGATTTTACCGAAAAATTTAAATATAACAAAAAAGTTTGAAAAGTATGTCCACGAATTTAATGGAAAATTAGAGTCCAAAAACAATTGTGTTATTTCTCTACTTTTTTTATTTCTTGTTGCTTATTGAATTTCTATTATATTACAGATTGACAGCTTTTTTAGAGTGATTGAATTGGCTTAAAATATTTAGTCATTGAACACATGTAATGTCAACGTCATTTGTAGGATATCAAATGTCTATTTTTATTAGTTTTGGCTATAAATGTCACTTTATTAATACAATATTTCTGCCGCATATAGTTTTTAAATTTCCAAAGCCAAAAAAGAAAGGTTAAATAAAATATCAACAATGGTAGATCCGTATGATGCAGCAGCAAATATTGGCATTAAAACAACAAATAGTCAATATCAAAATTTAATTAATATACTTAGTGATCGTCAAGACATAGCTCATGGAATTACACGAAGAAATAAAGATGAATTAGGGACATTTTGGGTATACGTTGCCACAGAATTGAATCAGCTTGGACCACCAACAAAGGATCCTATAGCTTGGAGAAAAGTGCGTCATATTCTTTTAAATCCATATATTTTTGCAAATAAAGAATTCTTTTATTCTAGGTATGGTCTGATTACAAAAGTTATGTAAAAAAAAAACTTGTACAAAATAAAAAAGAAATTGAAGTTACGGATGGTAAACCACGAAAACTTCATTTTCTTAATAGTATGGAACAAAAAGTAGTAAAGATTTCAGGTATGTTATATACATCTTTTTATAACACGTTACATATTTTCCTTAACATTTTTAAAATTGTAGGTTTGGAAAAGTATATAAAACTTGTTGACGGGAATGTTCTTATATCATTTGAAGAAGGAAGATTAGGTCCTGCTACTACTACTCTTGAACCACCGCCAGATATAAGTTTAGACATTCCATCGCCTGCGCCAATAAAATATAAACATGGATGTAAAAATGGTAAACAAAAAACTAAGGAAGAAACTATCGAATTTGATAAAGAAGATTCAATTGAACGATATCTAAAAGAAGTATCTCAAACGAGTTCTGAAGAAGAAGACGAAGAAGATTATAAAGACAAGGACCCGGTGACTTCTTTAATAATTATAAAATCCGATATTTTGCGCCAGAACGAGAATCTTGAGGAAATAATAACAAACATGAAGAAGTACACTTATAAAATGAAAAGATTTCATATCGCTTTAAGAAAGCTATACAAAGGTAAGTGAAAAATTTGCTTGACTAGGCTGTGGACATTCGTTAAACTATTTGTTTCTTTTAAGGTCTATTTCATGTTTATATTGCTGAAAAATGTATTTTACGTGAAAGGATTCGTCACAACAGAGAAGTCGAAAGAATTATGAAAAGGAAATTGAGAATTAACGAACAAATTTTAGAAATAAAAAAATCACGGAAGCATTAACATTTCAATAAATTACAAGAAAAATTTATTCATAACATTTTAATTTTTTCAAAGAATAGATAAGCAGTATTCTCAAATTAGAATACTGCTTTGTATTTTTAAAATTTTCTCTTAACTACTGCAAAAATTGTATGACGTTAAATTTGATAGCGGTTACATTTAAGACGAATAACAAAAAATATAGAAATATGTCGAATTTTTAAAATCGAATTGTATGTTATTTTCACCATTTGGGAACAATATTAATGTTTTAAGATTGTAATGAGAGTCAATTAAAAATTTTATAAAAAATTTTGTCAAAATTTTTGGAGGAATTTCATTGTTTTTCTCTAAAAAAAAATTTTTTTTTTTTCATAACGGCAACACTAAAATTGAAATGTCAAACAAATCCCAATAAACCAAATATGTTCATTGAGAGCAAACATTTTGAAAAACAAAATTTATTATAAACAGCAATGGCAGCGTCACCGGTAGGTTTTGGTTCCGCAAAAACTACAACAGCACAATATGCTGAGCTTATAAATCTTTTAACAGATCGTCAAGATATTGCTCATGGATTTACTAGAAGAAGTAAAGAGGAAGTAAATGCCTTTTGGGAATATGTTTCATCTGAGCTCAACAAATTAGGTCCACCCACAAAAGATACAACATCATGGAGAAAAGTATACATATTAAAATTTTTATTATAAATTCCGCACATAATTATTATTTATTGTTCGACAAAGGTATGGTCAGATTACAAGAGTTCCGTCAAGAAGAAATTAATTCGTAATAAGAGAAATATCGAAATTACAGATGGAAGATTGGGCAAATTAAGTTTTTTAAGTGAATTAGAGCAAAAAGTGGTGAATATTTCAGGTCCGTTCTTCATCTTAGAAAGAGCTATCTACATGTTTGAAAGAGCATAGTTAAATGTATATTTTGTTAATTTTATTTTGTAGGTCTTGAAAAATACATTAAAAATGTTGATGGTAAAGTTTCGATATCATTTGACGAAAATAAAAATGTCAACGATGATTATATGAACGTAGATCCACCTTCACCTAATGATGATTTAGACGATTTATTGAATAGAGATGGATCAATTGAACGATCAATTCGTGCAGATTCTGAAGATAGAATATCTCAATACGATTCCAAAATTGAAGAATCTGTTTCTTTGCTAAAATCTCAGATTTCACTACAAAAAAATGTTTATGAGAGTTTAGCGAATTGGTCTAAACAATCTGGACAAAATCAAAAGAAAATCACAAACGATTTAAAAAAGGTTTATAGAGGTAAGATTTTACCTATTAATTTACCCTTAGTTGTTGAATCATTTTAAAAATGTATATTTACCCGTAGGAGTTTACCGCACTTATCTGGTGCAAAAGGGAACCTTTCGTGAAATGCAGCGTCATAACAGAGAAATGGAAAAAATTATGAAAAAGAAACTTGAAATTAAAGAACAACTCTTGCAACTTAAAAAATCTAAAAACTAAGGTGGAAAATCTAAAATCATAATCTGAAATTTTTAATTCCTATATATAAATTTGTATTGTAATTCCTCATAAAGAAAAATATCATCTTTTTAAAAAAAATGCTTAGGTATAATAAAAAGGACTCATTACTATATTTTTGTTTTTATTCCAATTCCCACGACCTTGAAAATTTGAATTTTATAAATAAAAGAAACGTGACAAGAGGAAATGTCAAAACTAAGGCTAATCAAAATTTACAACAAACATTAAACAAATTATTTTAGGGTTACATAGAAAAGAAACTAGGAAATTAAATAACTCAAAATTTTTATGCAAAAATATTGAATATGACTGAACCAAGCATTGCTAAAGATGCTGTTCTCGTGACTTCCGAACCCATTCCAGAAGGTACACCTGTAATTAAAGGCTACGAATGGAATAATGGTATAAATTATTCCGCATTATTAGAGTCTTTTCTTAATACTGGATTTCAAGCTACCAACTTCGGTTTAGCTGTGAATGAAATAAATAAAATGGTAAATATATACAGATACATAAGTATGTAATTTAATTCCCTTTTAACGTGTAAATAATTATGTATTCAAATATTAATATGATATATAAAAAAAAAGCTTGATTGTAGGGAAAAACCACTTGATGAAAAAGATATTGATGTTTATGAAGAGGATGAATTTATCAAGAGGAAATCAAATTGCACGATATTTCTTGGATACACATCGAATATGGCATCTTCCGGAATGCGAGAAACAATTAGATTTTTAGTAGAAAAAAATATGGTAGATTGTATTGTATCGACAGCCGGTGGAATTGAAGAGGATTTAATTAAGTGTCTAGCACCCACTTATTTAGGTAGAAGATTTAATTTTTAAACCTATTTAGGTAGAAAATTAACATTTTTTGATTTATTTTAAGGATCATTTGAACTTAAAGGAAAAGAGTTAAGGGAAAAAGGTATAAATAGAATTGGAAATTTACTTGTACCAAATGATAATTATTGTAAGTTTGAGAATTGGATTATGCCAATTCTAAATGAAATGCTTCATGATCAAAAAGAAAAACAGATTTTATGGACTCCATCGAAAATTATTCAACATCTGGGTGAACGTATCAATGATACATCATCTATATATTACTGGGCAGCAAAAAATAAAATACCTGTATTTAGTCCGGCATTAACTGATGGTAGTTTAGGTGACATGATGTATTTTCATTCACATAGAAATCCTGGTTTAGTTATCGATATTTTATCTGATTTAAAGCGTTTAAATTCAATAGCTGTAAAAGCTATTAATTCTGGTATGATAATATTAGGTGGAGGCTTAATAAAACATCATGTTTGCAATGCAAATTTAATGCGGAATGGAGCAGATTTTTCAGTTTACATTAATACATCATCTGAATTTGATGGTAGTGACAGTGGTGCTAGACCAGATGAAGCTATTTCATGGGGGAAAATCAGAAAAGATTCAAATCCTGTTAAAATTTATGCTGAAGCAAATTTAGTTTTTCCTTTAATTGTAGCTGAAACTTTTGCTAAACGTGTTTTCTCATCATAATAAAATACAGAAAGTTTTGAGAATTTAATCAAATAATGTGTGCTTTTTTCATATTCCAAAAGACATAAACCTGAAAAGAGGATCTATTAAAACATAGTCTTTTTTTAAACATTTAAAATATTTATTTAAGTTTATACAAAATTTTTATTTTTATTTAACATATTTTTGTATGTTTGAATCAAGACATTATTCAAGATCTATATTAAATATAATATATTTTTATGAAATAAATTTATCACTTGTTTTAAATAGGTTAAAAACTTGTCTTAAAATCCATTCTTATTCGAAAAAAAAAAAAACAAAAAAAAAATATAATCTTAAGCCTGTGCTGTTTGTTTCACAATGATACTCACATTATTATTTTATAATCATTTTAAATAGCAATAAAATAGCATTTTTGATTACACAGCAACAAAAGACTAATAATTAAAGAAACCCTAATATAAAGTTTTATTCTGAGGTGGAACTTATTATGTACTTGAAAAAAAAAACAAATTGAGAATTTTAATTCACCATATTTGTTTAAATATAGATTACATATTTTAAAAATTAATATTTTTAATTTCAAATCTTCTTAAATAAATTTCTTTTCAAGTTTTTAATCATTTATTGAGTTTCACTACCTTTAACGGCTGATGCATAGCTTGGACCAGAAGTTTTATTTTCTTCTATATTTGCAGGGGCAGATTCTAATAAAGAAATCATATTAAATTATATAAACATATTTAATAATAAATTATATTTTAAAAATAGTGTTTATTTTTGTTCACCTTTTAACTCAATCGTTATGTTTTCAACACTTTTTAAATCGTGTTTTTTTATTAATTGGCACTCACCACCTTCAATTTGTGGTATAGAATAAACGTAAAAGTATCCATCTTGAGAAGCCACTAAAAGTCTATAATAAAATTTAACAATAAAATGTTTACCATTTAAAAAAAAAAACAGTATAATAAAAATACCTTAGAGTCTTTTGAATAGTAGCTATTGCACATAAACGTTTTATACCAGCTTCTGGCAATACAACAGAAGCAAAAGCTCTCCCAGTGAAAACATTAGCAACTTGTGTGGGTAAATAGCTCGAAACAGTCTTGCTTAAATAGCTTCAAAACAATACATAATTTAATTCAAATTTATGAAAAATTTTCAAATATTAAAATTACCCCATCCAGTCGTCAGAACTTTGTTTACTTTCGGGTTCTGCATATGTTCGGTCTAATTTAAATATATGAACTGTTTCTGTATTCGAGCTGCATACTAAATATTCAGAACAAGTACTAAATGACAGAGATCCAATTGAAACACAACGTTTTACGCCGCGTCTAAATTCAAATAATCTTGTGCCATCTAAAGAAAATACTCGAATTACTGTACCTCGTTCACTAGCAGTAGCTAAAAATTATATAAAATTATCAAATACAGTTTTTAAAATCTAATACAGTTAAACAAAATTACCAATTTCCGTTCCTGACGGACTGAAAGCAATAGCAGCTAATGGCGAATCGTGAGCTGGAATCATAGTTTTTGCGTGTAAATTAATTGCATCAAAAATTTGAACTTCACCAGATGTAACACTTCCTGGATAAGCTAAATAGCAATGCTCAGAAGACGAAGATAATGCACATAAGCCCGTTGGATTACTTGGGGTGTCACGAATAGTGTGTACTACTTTCATATCTTGTATATTGTGTATGTATAAGCTTTCTTCTAAGCAGACCACTAAACGTTCACGATTTAATTTAACCGCCAATATCGTATTAGAATAAGAATAATTACATATTTCACTTTTCTTTTTGAAATGACACACCTAATTTGCAAGATGAAAACATACAAATTTTAATTAACATTTTTTTTTAATTTAGCTGCACGATGCCAATATAAGTTACCTTTAATTTTCTAGGTGCTTTTAATGATACCACAGCGACTAATGAACTTTCAAATAGTCTTTCTATTAAAAATATTTCATCTATTTTGCAGCTATAAATTTTTTCTAAAACAGAATCAACACTAGCCAAACTAACGAGACTATATCCAGACTTAGATGCGACCGCTAAAGACCTAAAATATAAAAAAAAAATTATTTTCTCATATTTAAAAGATTAATTAATCAAAACTTTTCTTTTACTTACGTTATATTCTGATTAAAATTTACAAAAAGACCTCCCGAATCTGTATCATTTCGGGCCATTATGCGATTCCAAAAGTAATTAATGATTCTTGATATTTAAACAAAGTTCAATTCTAAATTTTTAATATATTATAATTAATATATTACAATAATTCTAATCTTATTTTAAATTGCAATATAAAGAATAAATCTTAAGTATTTAGAATCTTCAACTTCTAATTTAACGCTTAGTTTTGATATTAGAATTAAAATAAAAATGTTTCTGCGTATAATAACTACATTAACTAAACAATTACCAACTTGTCTTGAATCTACGTATTCAAATCTTTTTACTTAACTAAAATTGCTTATATGTTTATTTAGATGACTAATAAAAGCTGATTTTAATTTAAAATATACTAAATACTATAAAAATTATTTAAATACAAAAATTTTAAAATATATTTTGTAATTCTTTTGTATGAAATTTTGCAAAACAAAAGATGTTCAATCAGTTGATGTATCGATTGTTAAACGTCAAAATTTTTTATACAACAGTCGAGTCTCTCTTACCTCACCTGTTATATTTAGTATCACGAGGTGGTAAAATACTAAGTACCATGGCAGTTTTACAAAACGAGAAAACTTATAAACGAAAAAACTTATTCAATGTTGTGTTAATAACAACTAATTCTGCTGTTTTTAAATCTTAAAATTAAATTGCGTGAAAATATGAGATTGTTATAATTAAATTAATTTTTTAAAAGCTTTGTAAATGTAATGAGACTGCTTTAAACTTTGATAGTGATAAGTAGATATATGATAAATATATGTAAATCATGAAAATTTTTTTATCATCAGCGGAACAGCAAAATCTGCTGTTCAAAATATATCAATTTTAATTCAATATCTAAGGCCAAATATTAATTTCATAAATATTCGTTAAAACCCTGTTTGACATTTCGCCGTGGAAAATTTTTCTTTTTTTAGCTTTTCATTCGAGTGTTTTTAAATAATCAAAAAAAAAAATTTGAAACCAGAAGCCCTCATTTTAAAAATGAACACGATAGAATTTTTTCTCTCAATTAGTCTTAATAGTTTTGAAAATCTAAAAAAGTGTCAAATCCGAAATTTTTTTTTTTTTTTGTAAAAAGAAGAAGAATTTTAGCTCTAATCATTTTGAAGTAAAAAATTAAATACTTTTATACTTCGTTTGCATGAAGAGCAGAGTACTTATATACTATACAAGTTGAAATAATATTGTTTTGAATCGACTTGAGTTTGACATTAGCTGACAAGTCATATATATTATTTTATCATTTTCAAGTTATCAATCAGCGTATATGCAGTAAATTTTTTAATTAATCTAATAATTTTATCAGATAAATATGATTTAAAAATTTTAAGTCAAGTAGCGTTTATATGAGCAGTAAGAATAATTTTGACAGATGTGAATCTGTTCTTTAGCAAATTTCTAGAGAATAATACAGACATTATGACAACTCTTTGTCTACTGTCATATTTTTTATCACAAAAATATTATATGTTTTTTGGGTTTTCTACTACATTTAAAAAAAAAAATACTTTTTTCTTCTTTACAATAAAATTGTTTCCTTTGATAGTTCAATTTCGAATTGTCAATTCATTGAATCCACAATATACAGTTCGAGTTCGGTCGCTTTTAAAACGTTATTAAAGAAGGAAAAAATTAGAGAAATTCTTATTTTTTTTTTTTTTGTTTAATTAAAATCAAATTTAATCTTGAGTAAAAAAAAAACAAAATATAATAAATTGATTATTTAAAATTTTGTGATTTCTAATTCATATTTTTTTTTACGTTTTTTTTTTTTTATTTTTTGTTCGGTTTCGTTCTCTATATTACAAAATAAATTGAAGTAAAAAATTGAATGAAAGAAAATTTTAATCAAAAATTTTGTGTGTGTACAATTTTTATCTTTTGGTCTAAAAACCTTCATTAGTTAAAAAATTTTTAATATAGATAGCTATATAAGTATGTATGTATAGTTTTTTAAACGTGACTAGATATAAAATAATTTTTAATGTCACTGATTTCGTTTTTTCATTTTCTTTGTTTTTCTTGTTATTTTTCTTTTAAATGAAGGCAAAAAAAAAATTGAGTATAAATGTTTGATTGCAAAGTGACGAGTGCAAAAATACTAAAAAAAATAAAATTTGATTTGCATAATAAATTATAAATTAATATATTATAAAAAAACCTATGCGTAAATAATAAAATTCCAAAATAAAAGATTTATAAATTATTGATAAAATTTTGTAAAATTATTAAACACGTAGATATCAAAATTAAGTATGACAAATTGATTTTTTATATTCTTTATCAGAATATTAAAACAAGTGCAGTCAGTCATTCTTTTAGTACAAATACTGCTTATAAATTAAGTAGGTAACTACCATCCTACCTACCGTATCATCACCAAACATCAATAAATGTACATGTATATACCCATGTACGTAAAAAAATTGATAAAATAATTTCTTATTCTTTAACAAAAGAAAGTATAGTATCCTTTCAAGGGATACATACATAAAAATTAAAAAATAACAATAATATCAAAAAAAATATATTAAGACAAAAAAAAAAAAGAATATAGTCAACTACTACACAGTACACCCTATCACCTAGCAATCTAACCTGCTTATTTGGCCTCATTTTTTTCGGATGAGGAAACCTATATATTCTGTTCTACTGAAAATACAAGTATAAGCTTTGTTCTCATACATAATACTAAGTATACTTACTTATATAAACAAAGATAAGTGATTTGAAAGAAAAAAGAAGAAATAAGTATAAGAAGACAAAAAAAAAGGAAAACAAAAAAAAAATCAAGCAAGTACCTACCTATAGGTACCTAAATCCAAAATCAAAGAGGGAACAGAGATAAGAAAAGTTTCTGTAATTAAAAGACAGTCATTAAGTATTCGTCTATTATTTTTGTTTCTGGAAAAAGGATTCTAATATACAGTCGCTATAAATGTAAGTAAAAATTAAGTATTTTGTTTTTTTTTTAAGCTTTTATATATAATTTTATTTATATAGGTATTTTCATTATAAATAAATATGTACAGATAAGATTGTCTGCGTTTTTACGCATTGTTCTAAAATAAAATAATATGAATTTGTTATTTTATCTGAGCCCAATTAGAAATTATTAGGCTTCCAATCAAATTTCTAACACAGATGGTATACTTAATTGTAAGTATGTAATTAAAGCAAAATAGTTGTGATAGTGGAAATATACCTACATAACTACCTACCTGAATATGTACAAGAATAATATTAAAAATTAAGAAGATATCTACCCACTTTGGTCAATTTTTACATTATAATTATCTACAAGTTCTACGTGGTAACAAGTTATTTACATGTTTAATCTTTTCACCTCTTTTTAGTTTTGGAAGTACATAAAATCTTCGCAATTTCTTTCTATTTTTGTAAATGTTAATTTTTCTTTACATTTTTTTAGTATTATGTATTGAATGAAAATTTGGAGGAAGATATATTATGGAAATATTTTGCCAAAAAAATTTTATATTTCAAATTCAGTAATCAAGAAACAGAAACTAAATTAGATCAAACCGAATTATGTAACCATGAATTTGTTATCTTCCATGTTATATAAGTGAAACTCTTACATCTTTCCAAATAATGTTTGTCTACTTTTATTTCTTATCTTTTTCACACATCAAGCTAATAAACTAGTTAAGTATATACTTAAATTTCTTTGAAAAAAAAAATTACCAATTTAGTTGGAAAGTAGGTACGAGTATAAATATGATTTGTCAGCATAAGTATTTGTTCTTATTCATATTTTTAAAAATAAATTGGTTTTTTGTTGTCTTTTATTTTTTATCAGCATTAAATAAAATACCCAAAACAGGTACAATGGTTACAAAAATCATATTTTTTTAAAAAATAATATTAACGACTTCATATTTTTCAGTGAAATTTTACTCTCGTATATTAGGATACTATAATATGCGTACGAGTATAAGATTTTCTATAAACAATATACCTATTTGCCCTAGATTAAGCAAGAAAAGGATATATCAAATAAGGTGCCTAATAGGTATATTTTATTAAATAAGGTGCCTAATAGGTATTCTAAATTATATTACACATTGTTAATTGTATTTTAAATATTTAAATTAAATATTAAATAAAGAATTTGATTAAGTACATAAATTCTTAAAATATTTATTAATACAATAATTTGATGTTATATAATTAAGTATTAATATATTATTTAATGCTAAGTTATCTGTAAATAAGGACTTAGGTTTATACTGTTTTGATATAAAGTATTTTTAGGTTTAAAATTAATAAAGAAAGGAATTTGCAAATATTCTTAAAGGATGTTTGATTTGATGGATGTTTGATAAAGAACTCAGTATATGAAAGTAGAGACCTGAATAGTAGAGTGATATGAAAGTAGAATAGTTAATTAAGCTGCATTTTTAATAACATTTCCATTTAATTATGTAAATAAGTAAATTTAGGTATAGTATAATAATAATTTTAGGTATAGGTATAACAATATTCATTCTGATAGGCTATCATTATTATTGGTTAAAAGTTTGTAAGAGTAATACGATATTTTTTTTGCAAAAGAATCATTTACATTAGTAGGTATGGAATTTTCATTTACAAAAAGGAAATATGTATACGTACTCGTACTATGTATATCGGAAAAGTTTATGAGGCTAAAAACCCTCTATTTAAAATAAGAAAAAAATTTGAAAATATTTTGCAAATGATATAAGTAGAAAAAATCTATTAAATTCACAACAATTAAGTACTATTTAATAATTAAATTGCAATATTTTTGAAAATAAGGTTCATCTCTTTTAATTTGCAGTCTACATATCAATTTGTAATGTACCTACTAGGAAAACACTTATAATTTCCGAACGATTTTCAAATTTTTTAAAAATTTTTAAAATGTGGTAGGTATTGAGGATTTTTTTTTAATAAATCTATGATGCTTCGGAAGAACATATTATATTCTTGTGTTTTTTTTTAATTTTTCAGCAATATCTTTTTTTATTCTTACAAACTTTTGATTATTGTTGATAATTTAAGTAAAAATTGGTCTTACTCTTATTATTTACTAATAGAACATACTAAGTACTTGCATTATTGTAAAAAAAAAATACTAGAATTTTCAATTAAGTACTAAAATTTTTTTTTTTAATTCAATCTATAAAATTGCCTATTAAATAATAATAACAGAAAAAAAAAAATAACAAACTATTTAATGATCATTTGAATTCTAATAATGTTTCATACATTCATGATTTCCTTATAGATTGAAAAATTTACAATGTTTTTTTTTTTTTTAAGTAATTTTCTGTATACAAATATTCAAAGCTTTCAATTACATAATTAACATTGTTGTTATTTTTTTTGTATTATTCAATAATTTACATTTATGTAAATATATGTTCGAATATACATACATACATAAGTAGTTATGATATGGATGGTATATAGATGGTATAGAATAAATAAGTACTTGTAGATATACGTATAATTATATATATATATGTATATAAATAAATATAGAGATATTAAATGCTTAACTTCAATAATCAATGTCAATCAACATTGAAATTTAAAATAAAAAACAAATATTGTTAATTGACAAAGAAAAATATTATAAAAAAAAAAAAAAACAAATAAATTGAAGTAAATAAAAAGGAGTAGGGAAAAGGCAATTGTAGAAGAAAACCTAACAATGAAAAAAAAATGAGGGATAAATATTATTAAGTAGGCTTACAATTTTACAAATTGTTTTTGAGCTGTAAGAAGAGATTTTTAGTTTTTTGGCTCTACTGAAAATTTGCATTTTCCGAGTTATTAACCAAAATTTATAACATAATGGCTGCAAATTTTAAAAACAGAATATAAAAAAAAAGTGGATAACCTAAAAGTAGGCGATAAAAAAAAAAACTGAAAAATTTTTCTTTGGAAAAATAACCTCAAAAAATTTTTGGATTCAAAAAAGTAGATAGAAATTTTATAACTACAAAACTACAAATGTACAAATATTGGAAAGAGGGACGAAACGTAGTATAAAAATTCAAGTAATGAAAGAAAATGAAGATTCGTGTGTCCATACGGAATAATATTTAATTATTACCATTAAGCTGAATTCATCAGTTCGTCAGTTAAACAACGAGCTGACGTTATTTTATATGAAAATTTGGATTTTTGACATTCTTTTTATTTTTAGTACATTTTTTTTTTTTCGCTCTCTCTGAATCAACTTCAACTTTAGTGCGGAGGTTTTTTTAAAACGTCAAATTCATTGTATACTACTCTATTACAATTACATAATAATTCTTATCAAAAGAGTAATGAATGGATTATAATAAAAACAAACGATCAGCTTGTTTCAGACGAACCAATGAACAATCAAGAGAAAAAATAGTTCGACTTTAAATTGCTCAACTCAAAAATGACGAACCAATGAATCCACTATCTTTAAGAACATACATATGTACATATATTAAATTAATAGTTTACTTACTTAGATGCGGAACAACAATTTTTCGATCACTAAGTGTGTAAAATTATTTAAAAAACATTTTTGATTGTTAAGCATCGAATTTTGATTTAAATTTTGTTATTTCTTAAATTAACTAACTTATGTTTAAATCTTCAAAAATATTTATTCAAAAATTTATTTAAAAAAAAAAGAAAATGCGTTTTAAGTAAATTTGGTAATCTAATATTAAGTAATTAATTAGATAGGGTAAATACTTAAGTACGGATAAGATATTTGGTAATCTAATCATCAATACTCCCAAGTACATATTATTTCACGTAGGTACTTATGATAACCAAGTATTTAATACCAATTTTAAATTGATTATGTTTAGAATTAAAAATTAAATAAGTTTTGGTAAATGCTTAAATAAAATTTCAACAACACGCTATTGTTATTTTAAATAATGAAAATTTTGAAAAAATTTTTAAATTTTGAAGTAAATCCTACTTTATAAATAAAATTTCAATATTTTTCATTTTTTGGGTAATTATCAATTAGGAATACATATTTTTGTTTTTCTGAACTACTTACGTTAGGTACCTACTTTAGATATAAATTTCAATGTATGAATAGTAAGAATCTAATGTTAAAAATGCTAAGTTGCTAATGTTAAGAATCTTATCTGCCCGATAATATTTAATTAATGATAAAATAAGTGCGCGCCGCCTTACAATAAAATTCTTTGTACATGATAATTAATTTTCTTCTTTACTTTAATTGTAAAAATTTTATGCTTCCTATATTGTGGAATTTTAGAAAAAGAATCATTTTTATTTTGTAAATTACAGATAAGTAAGTAAAATATGTTGACACTTGTAAGTAATCACAAATTTGATATTCATTGAAAATATGTAATTTTTATTTTGGTACTTATAATTTTTATTTATTTTTCATATAAGTAATTGAATTCCATTTGAGAATTTTTCTAGAAGTAAATTGTTGGTTAAATAACCAATCAAAATTCACGGGGAAAAGCATATACGGAAAAAAAAGGAATGTAATCATAAAGATATGTATGTACTTATATTTTACGAAATTTATTAAGTATATACATAAGTAATAAATTTTATCTGGCAAATTATTTAAAAAAAAATATGAATTATTTATCTTCCAAAAAATTATTTATAAAATTCTTAATAAATGACTTACAAAAATGTTGTTATTCTTAATGACTAATGAACTTATTACAAAAATTTATGCAATATTATAAATATAAGTATACATTGTTGTGTATAAAAATATACAAACTTGCATATTATGTACATATATTTGTTTAGTAAACAACTGTTTATATATTATGTATAATTTTGTGTAAATAATCAGAAATATATATATGATAAATTTATACATAAGTGTGGTAAAAATGAATTGAATTTATTCTTTTATTTAATAAAATGTAATTTTTAGTTTTAAAACACATACG